CAGAGCCTGATGCAGGGCTCGAACTCACAGACCTTGAGATCATGACCTGAGCCGAAGTCAGACACTCAACCAACTGAGTCACCTAGGTGCCCCACAACAGAATCTAATTATGGAATTTATAGCTAAAACACTGTATGATCTCTGAACATGTTATAGATTATTCACTGACACTAGATTGCAACCTGGTTTTACTTTTAGTAAACATTGTCAATATTGTCACCCAGTAAATCATTTCTTTTGTATAAGGATTAATGCAATTGTATATTATAAATAACTGTAACTGTTAGCAGGGTGAATCCAAGGAGAAAGAACCAAATATTTGTGCACATAAGTAATTATTTTCAAATGCCCAGCTTTTTCATAAAAGCTTCAGAAGATAAGTTGTAAAGTTTATAATCTCTCAAGGTGATTCTTTTATTTCTACTTTTCAAATTTAATAAAAATGTATTGATTGTTTTATATCTATATAGCACTTGAATTCTTTTATGCATCTTAAAATTAGCTTGTCAGTTTTTTAAAGAGAATCTACTAGTATTTTAATGGGACTGTGTTGAATGTACACATTTAAGAATGGACATCTTGATATTGAATCTTCCAGTCCGTGAACATTGTGTATATTATACATTTATTTAGGTTTTTAACTTTTCTCATGGATATTTTGTACTTTTCAACTAACAGGTCTTGAACATCTTTTTTAGATTTATTCCTACTTTGTCTCTTATTTATGATGTTATATTAAATGTCATTTTATTTATTTATTTTTATTTTTTAAATGTTTATTTATTTTTGAGAGAGACAGAGAGACATAGCCTGACAGGGGAGGGGCAGAGAGACAGGGAGACACAGAATCGGAAGCAGGCTCCAGGCTCCAAGCTGTCAGCACAGAGCCCAATGTGAGCCTTCAACTCATGAACAGTGAGATCATGACCTGAGCTGAAGTCGGACGCTCAACCGACTGAACCAACCAGGCACCCCTTAAATGTCATTTTAAACGTTGAATTTCCAACATTCTTTTCTAATAGAAATACAATTGATATTTTTTGTATGTATTAACCTTATATTCTGCAACCGTGTTAAGCTCATTTGCTAGTTGTAGTAGCTTTTTGTTAGCTGTTTGTTGTTATTGTTGTTTTTGATTTCTTAGCACTTAGGGTTTTCTTTGTACATGATCATGTCATCTGCAAATAAGGACAGTTTTGGTTCTCCTGCTTGTTTTTTTGTTTTTTTTTTTTTTTCCTTAATCAACTGGATGGAACTTCCAGTACGTATTAAACTAACCTTATATTTTTGGGATCAACTCTTATCAAAATGTATTTTTCCTTTTACATATAGCTGGATTTGATTTATTAATAGTAAGATTTTTTGCATCTATGTTTATGAAGAATATTCTGTAGCTTCTTCTAATGTCTTTATCTGATTTGAATGTTAGTATAACAGTGACCTTTTAAAATGAGTTGTGTTTTGCCTTTATGTTTTGGAAACATTTGTATGAAGTGTGTATTATTTCTTTTTAAATGTATGATAGAATTGATTAAAGAAGCTTTTAGGCC